TAATAGCCTACTGTTGCCCGGGAGCCTGACCGATAATGTAAATCCTGGCACTAGGACTTTCTCACACCTTGGAGAGCCTATGTAACCTCTTTAGCCTAGAGAGATTATCCCCCTTTATGAAATGGGGATAATAATAAATAATAATAATAAACCAACCTCAAAGGGCTTGTTGGAGGATGAAATGAGATAATCCATGGAAGTGCTTAGCAGAGTGCCTAGTCCAGAAAGCATTCACAAAAACAGCCCTGTAAAGGTCCAGCACAGGACGCCATGGGAGAGGGGAGAAGTGGCTGGAGTTGCAGTCAGGTGGGGACTGAACCACAAAGGCCCCTTGATACCGCAGGGAGACTGAAGCTAGTTCTCATGGGTTCAAACCCCAGTTCTGCACTTTGAGCTGCACAACTTTGAGCAGGTTATTTAGCCCTTCTCTGCTTCCACTTCCTCACTTAATGGTTTAATATTTACTTCTTTTTTTTTTTATTTACTTGTGAAGCAAGGACTCACAGGGTTGTTGTGGAGATCAAGAGTTACTCTTAGGTAATGCATTTCAGAACAGTAGGGGGAATGAAGTTCAGTAACTACTCTACAAGCGAGTGAGAAGCCTTGCAGTTTAACTCCTATTTTGTTCCTCATCTCAAGTTGCTTACGGTCTTCTGGATGAATCAAGACTTGCACATTACATACAATGAGAAAAAAAAATTCTTAAAGACTTTTATTACAGAGTTTATAATAAAGAATACAACTAAATATAATCAAGAGCCATAATGCATAATACTGACAGTAAAAGCAATGATCAGAAACAAGAGGAATCAAATTTGGCTCAAGCAATCAGGAAGAGCTCCCTGGAGGAGGTGAGAGACTGAAGTTATAAACATGAAACAAAATATATTTAATATTTTCAAATTCTAATCATATAGAAATTTGGATATATGAACCTTTTTACTTTTGAACAGGCAGATGGTGATCAACAAAATCAATGAAACCTCCTTTGAAGTCAGAAGTATCATGTGAAGAATTTGCTATGTATAAAACCCTACACCTTATTACATCATCAGCTCCACGAGGACCCAGACTTGTGCCTGGGTTTGTTCCCTGACGGGACTGGCATGTAGTAAAGCATTAGATAAATACTTGCCATATGACTGAATGTGTGAAAGATGGCACACAGTTCCTATACTGTTCAGTTCTTACATACGACCTGTCTAGTCCCTTAATAACAGAAGTTACTATCATTTGCTAGCATCTTCTCCACTAACTTTCATGCTAACTCGGCTACTCTGCTGAAGTCATACTTCCTACACAGTAATTTCCACCAGGTATTAAAAAGCTGTCTCCTTCTTGAGCACCTAGTGAAAGAGAATAAATTACAACTGCAATTTCCTACCAGTTTTCGATGGACAAAGAGCCGCGTGTGTGCGCGTGTGCGTGCACATGCACGTGCTACCAGTAACGCACACGATATCCTGTAGGACTGATGCCTGATAGAACTTAAGCTTTCAAGTTATGTATGAAATGCCTAGAACAGCATGGGGTAATAATACCAGGTACCTGCAAGAATGCTCTTCAGGAGAGTTGAAACTGCCTTACAGGCTTTAATTTATCTTCACAGATGTCCTGGGAGTTAGAGGCAAGTGGGTATTATTGTTCGCTCCATTTTACAGGATGGAAGGCAAGAAAAAAGTGGCTTGACCATGACTTTACTGTTCTATCTGTTGGTTCCAAAAAAAGAACCAGGCATTCTAAAATCACAGACCTAACATCTAATACACTTTCCACACATTTCAAAGTTTGCCTTCCATCACAACTAAATAGATATTGATGCCGTCAAACCTTCTCATCAGCTATGATTACTCTGCCTAACTTATTACATTTTCTATTACTCCCCAAACCACCCCTCCTTCTGTTCTAGTCAGGACTTTCTGGCACTGACTCAGCCCTGATACTGAGTGTGGTCCTTTCCAATACTGACCGAAGCTGCTCTCTATTTATGTGTCGAGTAACAGGTCTCCTTCATAGTCTCTGAAATGCAGCACTCCCTGACTTTATTTCTTAAATTTTATTTAGCTTTGCATTTTTATTAAAGTAACAAATATAATAGGATAGACAATTTTTAGTCCTGGAGATCATTTCTCCAAACTCTAGATGAAATAATAATTATAAACCTTATTCATTGCCTTTTCATCTTTAGATAATGACTCCCTGATATGAAATGTAAGGGCTTACCTCTCTTTATGTAACTGCCTTCTCTTTCGCTCTTCCCAGAGTCTGATGAAAATGTCATTGTCATGTAGAACAGATTGCCTCTCACCTCCACTGCAGCCCTCTGCAGGCCTATTTTCAGCTGATCCTTATCCTGTATTTTATTGATTAAACAACTTCCATTTGGCTTCTGATTTAAATATCTTTGCTAAAATTTCATATTCATTGGTAACATTCTTTCTGTTTCCCTCACTATTATGGGGTATTTCTTAGTGAGACTTCCATGTTTACATTTCACCAAGTCTCAACAGAGACCAGCTGAGTGTGGCACGTTGAACCGGGGGCTGGGGGGGGGGTGGGGGGGGCGGCTCACTCCTTTACGTGTGTCCTGCTAATACAGCTATTTTGCTTCCTCATCCATAAATGAATGACAAGCAGTTTAATGCATTTCAATGTACCCTGGATATAAAGGAAATACAGGGCTAACCATTTATGTGAAAAATAAAAGAATCAAACAAACTGTAAATACAAATGTCATCCCCTTTATTCATCAGAGAAAAAGTTAGCACAATTAAAAACTAAGCCTGCCTCCATAACAGTAGCATGTACAAATGTACACTTAATAATGCTGCAAACTTATTATGGCAAAATCAGAGTTAATCAGAAGATTCAGGAAAAAGAGAAAACTCAAACATTTTCTTTGTCATTTTCCCACTGATAGCTCAAGAACCTATGATTTCTCTCTAACGACTCTAAGGGCAAGTCAGGTAGATCCAGGAAATATTACAGCACAAAGAAGCTTTTAATCTGGAATTTTATTACTTTACATATTACAAGATATTCAGATATATTATTTACTATTCTGAAAATTTATTATTTACAGCAAGCCCCTATGCCTTCTAGAATTATTTTTTAAAAACAACTATTACCTATATTAAAATTTCTACATTTAAAAATATAGACTTTTGAGGATTTTTTCCTATGTAGTTAGGTTTCAGGTTAATGAACAAAGGAAAATCTCCTCCCTTTAAGAATAATATTTCAGAATAAGAATTCTGTCATGGCACTTAAAAAAGCTGTTATGATTAGACTTTCTCTGTGGCAGAATTTTTATAAAATGTCACTTTATTTGACTGGTCCTACGTAATAGTATAAACAGATACCACAGTAATTGTTCCAAATGTCAGCAGTATGAAATTTCTGTAACTCTCTTTCCTTATCTCATTACCCTGATAATTTTCTTAGGAAAATAGAAGTACATATTTGCTATATTTGTCTTAGGTTCATCATCTGTCTATGTATCTAGGCCCCTAACATTCTACAACCATGTTTACATATTTAGAATGAGACAAGATTTTGCAAAGAAAACAGATGCTAAATGAAGTTTACTGATGATATGTATATGAACTCTCAAAATGAACCATATTTAGACAGGTTAATTTTGTACAACACTCACTGTTTTATTGTTTCAGTATCTCAAGATTAGTTACCTAAAAATATACCTCTGAGATGAGAAGTAGGAAGTAAGAAGAAAGAGATGTATCCTTAGAAGTGGTTCTTCAAGACCTAATTGCTGGCAACTTCCTCCCTAGCATAGATTCCCTTCTCTAAGTAATTTACCTTTATAAACTTCTTTAGCTTGAGTATTCTCAAAACAGTTCCCCTTCCTCAGAAATAAAAAGTTGACCACTGTTGTGGGCACCTGGGTGGCTCAGATGGTTAAGCGTCTGCCTTCGGCTCAGGTCATGATCCCAGGGTCCTGGGATCGAGCCCCGCATCAGGCTCCCTGCTCCTTGGGAGGCCTGATTTTCCCTCTCCTACTCCCCCTGCTTGTGTTCCCTCTCTCGTTGTCTCTCTCTCTGTCAAATAAATAAATAAAATCTTTTAAAAAAATAATGGCCTTTGTGATATAAATATCTTACATGGTATCTTCTAAAATCACTATTTGAATAGGAGTCAACTGTACTCTGTAAGGCATACTCATAACTTTAAAAAAAGTAAAATATATATATATATCTTCAGTAGAATTGAGCTGACTGCTATTTGACCATAAATAGTGACTCTGGTTGGGACTGAGAAGTCTCCATCTCAGGTACCTGAGTGTGGTAAAATAACATGACCTGCAGGTTAATTTGTCTGGCCTTTGTTAAATGAGACTGGAAAAGAGAGAAATTCCACAAATGCAAACTATGCATGGTTAACTGCTATGACCTGCCCATCAAAACCATACCTAAAATATTTTGTAAAAGCAGCCCAGTAACCAAAAAGAAATAAGAGATCATAAAACCAAGGTCATGAGGGCCTGGGTCCTCTTAAATTTTCCATTTTAAAGAATAAAACAATCTTGGAAAGCCATGTTTCAAAAACAGCAGTTTGGATTTATTCAGGTACCAGAGAAACTGACAGTTAAACTCTCATCTTTTCACGAGCAAGTCTACAAGAGAACATCACAAAAGCAGGGTATGTTATGAATAGAGGGAATGAATCATAGGACCCACGCTACAGACCCATGACACAATTGTGGCAAATGCTAATTATCTGTACATTCCATTTCTTTCTCTTAGGTTCACAAAGCTCAAAAAATCTGCTCCTAACTTCTTAATTTGCATCCTATTGGGTTTATTTATACCACTTCTGTTATACTCAAGGCACAATACAAAGCTCATATAGATCTTGACCAAAAAAAAAAAAAAAAAGATAAAGTTTGCTCATGAGCTATAAACAGTGAAACTACAGAACTAAGAGCGTGAAAAGAATACAAATGTCTGTGTTTTCAAGCCCCAGCATGAGGACCAGCTTACCTCTGGTGTGCCAAGAGCATGTTCTCCAGCTAAAAGCAGCATGCTCAGGCCTCCCATTTGAGTAGGATCTAAAAGTCAAAAACAAATAAATCATCAATTTACAAGCATGAAGTACATATAATCCACACAGAGTCAAAAAGGAAGACTTGTTAACAAAGACTCGAAATCCAACAGAACCATATATAACTTGTTATAGAAAACTTTCAAAACTCTTCATACAGCAATAATCCAGCATATATGTAAGTACTCCTACTTTTGTGAGCCTTTTAAATCCCCCTATTGTCCCACCATTTCAACATAACCCTTTCTTCAATACCACAGCTGTTTATAATATCAATTATCTTCTAATATGATGTGTCTTGCCTTAATGAATGGCAAGTTTCAATGGATTTGCTTATGCTTGATGTCTAAGTTTGAGATTCTTATTCTCAAATTATTATTTCTACTATGGAAAACTAGGACGGATAAAAAGTACCAGGCTATATGAGAAACGAGAGAACGGAGAGAAATTTATAAATGAGTCTTCCAAAATCTAGAGGGCTTTGTTCAAATAATCTTTCTCGAAAACTTTCACAAACAAATTTAAATTAGACAATGATGTATTTTTGATATTTTAAATCTTAGGGGTATAGTCAGGTGCTTCCTCAAAATACTTTTTGGATTTAAAATGAATCCTTTTTATATTACTGAAGGCCTTTGTTTTCATTCCTTCAATAATCAACAGAAACAAAAAGACAAAATAAAAACAGCAAAGCAGTAGATCTACAACCCAGGGTTATGACTAAACAAGTATTAAAGAAAATAAGAAACCTATATCCCTTAAGGTTGGGGACTCAGTGCTTGTCCTCATGCACACAGGTCCAATATAAATGCATTTTTAATTTTAGGAATCTCTCCTCAATTGAAAGTGAGAATCAGGCATACTGCTGCCTGAAGACATAGAGGGGTTTCCCTCTTTTTTGTTTAAAGATAGAAACTTAAGTATATCTTTGGAAACGATCTGTCTTAACTCATGAAGCCACTCTGATCACATCTTATACACAGTCAAATTTTTTTTAAAAATTGAAAGAAGAATCTGAAGTTATTAAAAAAGAAAGAATGAAGGGGCGCCTGGCCTTCGGCTCAGGTCATGATCCCAGGGTCCTGGGTTCGAGCCCTGCATCGGGCTCCCTGCTCAGCGGGAAGCCTGCTTCTCCCTCTCCCACTCCCACTGCCCCTGCTTGTGTTCCTTCTCTGGCTGTCTCTCTCTCTCTCTCTCTCTGTCAATTAAACAAATAAATAAAATCTTAGGAAGGAAGGAAGGAAAGGTTATTAGAGGGGAACAAAGGTCACCCAATGATCAGGTGGTCAAGAAACAGCTCCATGTTAGAAAGTAGCCCCACAGGAAGACGCCACATATGGAATACACGGGAACTCTGGTTGTTGTGATGAAACAAGGCTCTTTGTTGTTGTCTTAAAAATTTCGTCTTTAATTAAATGTGAAGTTTAAGAACTACTGTGTTTGGTAAAATAGACATTTTAATCTATTTAAAATTAAAATGAGGGGGAAATGAATTTAGCATAAAGTAAAATTTTAATTTGGTTCTCTGGGTAGCTAAATACTTTTGCAGCTGTCATTCAGAGATCAGGAGGACTGGATGGTTGCCTTCTAAGAGAAATAAAAAATGTGTTAGTTCAAATTTTAAAGTAAAATAGGAACATGCTTACATGACCATCTATTTGTTATATACCAATGTGACTTTGCCAGAAGTTTGCTGTATAGATAGTAAAACATAGACCAAAAAGTTATCATCATCCTTTACATTAATTTATATTTATACAATGTTATCTAGAAACATCAAAAATATGCACATAGCATGCTTTGCTTTCTCTTTACCAAGAGGACCTGTACTAAATTCTGCACAGCTTTCTCTTCTTGGAAATCATACATTTAGCTGCTTTGGGATTATTCAAAATAGCAAAATGTCATGTGACCAGGACTACTGGAAAAACAATAGATTCCATGTTGAGGAAAAGCTTACACTGTCCTCTCAAGGCCCTATAAGGATCCCCTAGATTCAAACAGCTAAGCACCATGTTTTAACTAAAGGCAAATCCATTTGCCTTCATTGAGCTGCAAGAGGCACAACTGGAAATTTTAGAACAATGCTATCCACTATACACTAGCTTAACAAAGACCTGACCGTGGATTACCGACATCTGTCACAGAGCCTCACGTAATGACACAAACTCAAGAAGGTGTTTTCCTTCTTTATTTCACTTTAAAGAACATTGTTTTTGTAAAGCTGACCTGTAAGTATCTTGGTTGATGTCTAGGTCTCATATTTTTGATTTGTAGGTACAAAAGGTAAATTAATAAACTGTCAAATATGGTGCTAAAAACAAACATCTTTCATAGCTCTCAAAGCTTTCATAGCTTTATCCACAATTATGATTGGTTTGTGAAGAGCTATTGTATGAAAAACACCTACTGATATTTAGAACTGGGAGAAAAAGGCCTGGAAGACAAATGGTAATCAAAGGAATTCAGTTGGCAGCCCATCATCCATATACTCTTTTATGGCCCCGATGATAAAATATTTTATTATAAAACACTTCAACTGATACAATTTGGGAAGTCCAGAGAGCTCACCAACACTGCTAGCAAGCAAGGTGAAACGAAAATTGTACAATGACAGCTAAACAAGGACAGAGCTCTGTTTTGATTCTTCTGGGATATGTAGGAGCATCACTGGGGGGGGCTTTACCTAGAATTCTACCATAGACTCCTACACAGCAATCACCTGAAGACTGTGTTTCCTAAGAATGCTGCCATTATGTTAGACTGCATTTCTTAGCGTTTATATATGACAACACCACGTACTTTGTTACGCTATAAACTACACACTGAATTAACTGAGTTCTGTTTTTAACTTTTTGAGGATCCTCCATACTGTGTTCCCTTAGTGGCTATACCAATTTACAAGCAACAGGGCTCCCTTTTCTCCACATCCCCACCACTTGTTATTGCTTGTCTTTCTGATGTTCATTCTAATAGACATGAGGCAGTATCTCATTGTGGTTTTAATTTGCGTTTTCCTAATGACTAGTAATGTTGGGCATCTTTCGTGTACCTGGTTGGTCTTTTGTACGTCTTTGGAGAAATGTCTATGCAGTGCCTCTGCCCACTTTTTACTTGGGTGTTTTTTGGTTTTACCATTGAGTGGTAGGAGTTCCTTATAGATTTTGGATATTAACTTCTCAGAAATGTGGTTAGAACTATTTTTTAGCGTTCTGTAGGTTGTCTTTACACTTTGTTGATGCTTGTTTTTGCTATATAGAAGCTTTGTAATGTAGTCTCTAACTTGTTCACTTTTTATTTTGTTGCTTGTGCTTTAGATGTCGTATCGAAAAAAAACCATTACCAAGACGTATGCCAAGGAGCTTTACTCCTATGTTTTCTTCTAGGATTTTCATGGTCTCAGGTTTCACATTTAAGTCTTTAATCCACTTCATGTTAATTTTTTATGGTTTAAGATATGGGTCCATTTTCATTTTTTTACATGTGAATATCCAATTACTGCAGCACCATTTATTGGAAAGATGATTTTTTTTTCCATTTGGTATTCTTGGCTTCCTTATCAAATACTGGTTAACTGTGTATGTTTGGGCTCTCAATTCTGTTCCATTGGGCTGTCTATCTGTTTTTTATGCCAGTACCATATTGTCTTATTGACTATGGCTTTATAGTATAGCTTAAAATCAGAAAGTATGAGGCCACCTGCTTTGTTCTTTCTCAGGATTTCCTTGGCTATTCAGGGTCTTTTGTGGTTCCATATAAATTTAGGAGTGTTTTTTCTGCTTCTGTAAAAAACACCATTGGAATCTTGATAGGGATGGCATTCAATCTATAGATGGCTTATGGTAGTATTGTTTTGAACACAGGATACCTTTCCATTTATTTGTGTCTTCTTTAATTTCTTTCATCAGTGTCTTGTAGTTTTCAAAGATATTTTACCTCCTTAGTTAAATTTATTGCTAAGTATCTTTATTGTTTTGATGCTCTTGTAAATGGGATCGATTTAGTTTTTTCAGAAAATCTGTTGTTAGTGTATAGAAATGCTACAGATTTTTCTATGTTAATCTTGTATCCTGCAACTTTACTGAATTCATTGATTAGATCCAATAGTTTTTTGGTTAAGTCTGTAGAATTTTCCAAATATAATGTCATGTCATCTGCAAACAGATAATGTTACTTCTTTTTCAGTTCTGATTTTTTTCTTTTATTTCTTTTTCTTGCCTATTGCTCTAGCTAGGACTTACAGTATCATGCCTGAATAAGAGTGGTAAGAGTGGACACCCTTGTCTTATTCCTGATATTAAGAGGAAAGGCTTTCAGCCTTTCACCATTAGGTATGATGTTAGCTGTGGGCTTGTTATATATGGCCTTTATTATGTTGAGGTATGTTTCTTCTGTGCCTAATTTGTTAAGAGTGTTTATCATGAATGGATATTGGATTTTGTCAAATGCTTTTTCTGTATCTACTGAGAGGATCATATGATTCTTTTTATTCAATTAATGTGATGTATCACAGTGATTTATGTTGAACCATCCCTGAATCTCCAGGATAAATCCCATTTGATCATGGTGAATGATCCTTTTAATGTGCTGCTGAATTTAGTCTGCTAGTATTTTATTGAGAATTTTTGAATCTATATTCATCAGGGATACTGGCTTATAGTTTTCTTTTTGGTTTTGATATCAGAATAATGCTGGCCTTGTAAAATGAGTTTGGGAGTGTTCCCTCTTCTCTGATATTTCTGGAAGACTTTGAGAAGAACTAGTGTTAATTCTTCTTTAAATGTTTGGTAAAATTTACCAGTTAAGCCATCTGGTCCTGGGCTTTTCTTCTGATTACTTTCTGATTACTAATTCAATCTCCTTACTCATAATTGGTCTATTAAGATTTTCTATTTCTTACTGATCTGGTGTTGGTAAGTCACATGTTTCTAAGAATTTCTCCTAGGTTGTCCAGTTTGTTCGCATACAGTTGTTCACAGTGTCTTATGATCCTTTGTATTTTTCTGGTATCAGTTGTAATATCTCCTTTTTCATTTATAATTTTGTTGATTTGGGTCCTTCATCTTTTTTCTGCGATTAGTCTGGCTAAAGCTTTGTTGATTTTGTTTATCTTCTCAAAGAACCAACTCTTAGTTTGGTTATAACTTTTTCTCTTGTTTTTCTATTCTCTACTTCATTTATTTCTAATCGAATCTTTATTATTTCCCTTCTGCTAACTGGAGCTCTGTTCTTTTTCTAGTTCCTTAAGGCATGGAGTTAGGTTGTTTCTTTGGGATCTTTCTTGCTTCTAAATGTAGGCATTTGTTGCTATGAACTTCCCTCTTAGAATTGCTTTTGCTGTATCCCACAAATTCTGGTATATTATGTTTCCATTTTCTTTTCTCAAGAAACTTTTTATTTCCCCTTTAATTTCTTTTTGATCCATTGGTTGTTCTATAGAGTGCTGTTTAATTTTTATGTGTTTTTTAATTTTTCAGTTTTCCTCTTGTTTTTAATTTCTAGTTTCATGCCATTGTGGTCAGAAGATCACTGGTATGATTTTAGTCTTCTTGCTAAGACTTGTTTTGTGGCCTAAACATATGGTCTGTCCTAGAAAATATTCCATGTGTGCACTGAAACACCTTGTGAACATTGATGGATGAATGGATAAAGACGATGTAATTATATATACATATATACACACACACACACAGTGAGATATTATTCAGCCATAAGAAATGAAGAAATCCTACCATTTGTGACAAAATGGATGTACCCTGAAGGCATTATGCTAAGTGAAATAAGTCAGAGAAAGACAAATGCTATATGATCTTACTTATATGTGGAATCTTCAAAAGAAAAAAAGAAAAAAATTTAAAAAAAAAAAACAAAGAAAGAAATCAGACTTGTGATTATCAGAGGGAGAGAGAGAGCGTGGAGGAAGAACTGGAGGAAAGGTGGTCACAAACTTCTACTTACAGGATAAGTAAGTACCAGGGACGTAATGTACAACGTAATGCCTATACCTGACACTGCTGTATAACAAACAGGAAAGTTGTTAAGAGAGTTAATTCTAAGAATTCTCATCACAAGGAGAAAATTTTTTTCCTTTTTTTCCCTTTCTTTTCTTTTTATTGTATCTATATGAGACAGCTGACCCTGTTGTAATCATTTCACAATAAATATGTGTAAATCAAACCATCAGTCTTTATGTCTTAAACTTACACAACAATGTAGGTCAATTATTTCTCAATAAAACTGCATTTAAAAACAAAAAAAAGTATTATCACAATATTGCTCAACCTCCTTTCCCAGGCTCTCCATACTGCAAATGGTTCAGTGCTCTCATTCTGAAGAAAATTTGTTTATAATAATGAAATAGGAACCATTTAGCTCAACACCAACTTCACAGCTTCCACCCTGCCCAATCTCCCAATTTCATCCTGGAAAATGTCCCTCTTGATTACTGCACTGCAATAGCCAGGAAGACAGAGCCATTTGCAGAATGAATAGAAGTACTTTCTTTCACGGTAATAAATGCTTTAGCATTCCTTACCACCCAGAGAGTATTAAAGGTCCCATAACAAATGGGACCGTCTGGAAGTTTTAATTTGCCTGGCTCATACAGGAATGGGGGTGTGGGGGCAGGATGGGAACTCCTTCTAAGAAACAGCTGTCAGATCCATCTCAGATTTGTGACTGAACTGTTCATATTCTTGCCCTAGATGTTTCAAATCCCTCAGATGATCAACATAATTACGGCTTTTTAAGTACCCACAATAACTAAGATACTTATTGGGACAGCTTAATAATGTGTATGTATGGGTAAGCTACTTTGTTGCATCATAAAATTCCCTGTCTGCCTTTCCATAATGTCAATGTCAGAAATTCACATATATATACAATGACTCTACTACTTGGTCCACACTGCCTTTAATTATACATACACATTCTATGTATGTCGTGTTCCAAAGCTTTCAGATATGCTATATCTTTGCATTGCTTCACACTGGTTATAAATTTTGCTTCTCTTTCTCTTCTCTCTATGTATATATTACACATATATATATATATTTCATTAAAAATACTACCTAAATGTATTGCCTTGTCCTTAAAAAGAATCACTGAAATAATGTCTAAACTCACCAGCCATTCCAAAGTTTAGCTGAGGCATTTCTTCAGTCTTTGCTTTCTTGGGGCTCGGCAAATCTCTTGAAGAGTCAGATGGGAAGGCCCATAGTTTCTTTCGTGGGTTGACAGTGGGTGTTGGGGATTTCACAGGCTTATTTGTGGTAGGACACCATTTGTAGCCAGGATTTGCTTTCATAAATGCATCTTTATACTATAAATAAAGGATAACAGATTTTAATTAATATACAGACTGAAAAAGTTCTAATAGCCTTCATATCTCACCCCCCCACCATTAATTAATGAATGAAAAAATACTTTCAATAACTTCTGTGGCTTTACTTATAGAAGAATGATAATCTCAGCTCAGGGCTTTAGAGATAGGACGTGGATTTAACTACGAGAAAGTTCATTTGTGGAAGATGGGTCCAGAGGCAACACATTTGTATCTTTTGACCCATATCTTTTTTTAAGTATCCAAAAAGATGTCTTACCATGGTAGAGGGAGTTATTTGTAAGGGAAAGAGCAAGGGCTTTGAAGACAGAAAGAGCAGAAATCAAACCCTAGCACCTCCACTTAGGGCTAGAGTGACCAAAGATAGAGAATATAACCTCTCTGGGCCTCACCCTTAGTTTCCATAAACCAAAAACAATACCACCCATACGTAGGGTTACTGTAAACTGCGGTGCATTATTTGGCACCCAGTTTAAAGTGGTTATCAGGTGCACATTACAAACTGTGAGTCACTATCAGAGCCAGTAACCAGATTCTGCTCACTGCTTAATTTGGTAAGTACGCCAAAAATATAATCTGTGCTTTGATGTACTGGTAAGGCAAATGCAGGCAAACTTAAAGCAACATAACCAGCTTTGGGATAAATAAGCTAAGATCAGAGTGATGAGAAGGGGAACAAGAGTAGAACTCTTCAGCTGAGGATGCTGGACCACGTGGAGGAAAGAGCACATGTGTACCTCAGAGATCCTGTCGGTTCACTTCCAGACAACCGCAATAAAGTGAGTGTCACCATAAAGCCAGTCAGATGGGTTTTTTGGTTTCCCAGTGTATATAAATGTTACGTTTACATTATACTACAGTCTATTAAGTGTGCAATAACACTCTATCTTAAAAAAACAATGAAATATCTTCATTATAAATTCTTTATTGCTAAACAATGCTAACCATCATTTGAGCTTTCAGCATGCTGTAATCACTGAACACAGACCACCATAACAAATGTAATAATGTAAAAGTTGGAAATATTGCAAGAATTACCCAAAGGTGACACAGAGATATGAAGTGAGCAAATGCTCTTGGAAAAAAGGTGCCAACAGACTTGCTTGCCAACAGACTTGCTTGACACAGCCAGCATGGCTGTAAACCCTCAGTTCATAGAAAACTAAGTATCTGGGAAGCACCGACATTCCAGGATTTTATAATGAGCACATGCGACTGCAAATGTGAACAAGCTGAGAGCTGTGATGGGTGATGTTGCAATTAATCCATCACAAACTTTATGTCTTTAAATTGGAGGTTTCGACCTACACTGACAAGAGCCTCCTTTTCCCTTTATTTTTGTGACTTTCTCCTATAACTCTTTCTGCCAACTCTGTTGCTTCTTTCCCCTTTTGTGGTAATAAAACTAAATGAAATATATTTATTGTTATGCATTATACATTGCCAAAAGTTATATCATCTAATAAAAATGTATTTTCCATGTATTCAATTATTCCATATCGCTAACTGCTAGAAACTTTATTAAATCAATACAATTGTTTCAATCCCATAAGCTTGCCCTTTAAAATAATGCTCACTCCATGTGTAAACTAATTTAGTATACGCTCCAAAGAGCTTTTTATTTATCCCAACAGGAAAAAAGATTCTTTTATCGTTGGCATAAGAAAGTATATAGAATCCATATAAACTTTTCCCTTTTTTCACTTTAAATCATGTAAATGAAAACTGTACTGTAAGTAATATAATGCAAGTGTTAATAATCAGTGGTTTAGAATTATCCCCAAATTATCTTAACTCAACTTTTCTGAATAGGCTTTTTTTTTTTTTAAACCTAAAAGCTGTAGCTCTGCATGTTGCTACATGGGTACATGTAGAAGGAAGGTAAGCACAGAATAATGAAAAAATACAGTTCCACTTTTCTTACAAAAATAATTAAAATAAGGACACAAGGCCAGAGCCAAGCTAGAACTTACCACACATAGCAGAATAAATTTGGAGGTAACAAATGTGATATAAGAGGCACCCTACTCCAGTGCATTCACCTGCATGGGGGATTTACGTATTAAGCTGAAGCAGACAAATAGCCTTGCCTCCCGTCTGAATTCAGGTGGAGAGTGACAAATGGTAGGGTGAGGTGAAAATGGAAGGAGCAGACACATGCATCATTATTGTGTCCCAGGAAAAGGCACCTGGGCTGGTGTGTCAGATGAATAGTCATCTGGACAAAGGTCACCTCTCTATAAAATGACAAAAGACTTTCAAACAGATTAATTAATACATTTGTCATGAGAAATAAAACAATTTTTTGGAGTTTTTAAAGAAGCAAGTCCAAGTTGTGAAAGATGCTGGACTAGATGACAGACACCAGTTAAGAACTTAAATTAAAGTCTCCGCCTTCAAACTTGTTTACAACCCACAATTAGTCCCACAAACATTTTTTTTTTAAACGCGTGGTTCATTAGCCTTCCCCTAATTCAGGCATGAAAAACGGTTTTGCAAGGGATCTGTGAAAGGAGAAAGCTCCTATGGGTTGAAGAACAGAAGGAGAGAGAAAGACCTGGAGGATGTGGGGTTTTATGGAAAATGGTAACTGAGAATTCAGTAGGTCAGTACTCTGTATCTGTATCACAATATTAATCTCGCAGATCCTTAAACTTAATATAAACAAGCAGTAACAAGACAGCATTCATTAGCTCAATCAGAAATATATTGAGCAAAAACATTAAGAATGTGGGACAGAGAGAAAAGAATAACACACAGCCCTTGTCCTTTAGGAATTTAAAGCTTCCATGGAGACGTCATAAATTCATGTAAAGACACACTTGAACACCAAGCAAAGGTGGAGGCAGAAAGAGCCTTGGGGTATGAGGATGTCTCTCTGTCCTTGGAACTGGACACCTCATCAATCACTTGCTCTGATTCAACTATAAGAAGCAACAGAAAGGCTTAATCATTTGTTGTGATGAGGTTATTAGGAAAGGGATTACAGAGAAGGCTGAGCAAGGGAGAAATGAAGACAGTATATAGTATGAAGCAAATAGCTGAGTGAAACTGTTAGCATTCTGGTCAACTATGTGGACAAAAATCCATCATTACAGGATTTAAAGGGCCAAAGAGATAGGCCCCATCCATCTGGATCTCCAGGGCAGGGCTCTTCATGCAGGGAGTGAGACAGGAGTCTGTTTTCATCCAGGAACATCAATCATGGGCTATTGGTCCAATCTCATAGATAGCTAACCTCTTGCTAAATTACTGATTTTCAAAAATCTCCCATTAAAATTAAAGTTCACCTGATGGTTTCCATTTTTTTTCTTCAAAATCTCCAATTGCTTAGATAACCTAAGCGCATCTACTGTACAGACACACTTTGTTCTTTATACAAGGTGTTCAGCACATGCTGGTCCCTTTTCCCTGATCCCAACCGCCACAACACTTTATTAGCAATAATAGGAAACCACTGTTACTCAGTAATGGTTTAAATACACACCCTCTGTCACGGTATTTTGTCTACTTCATATATGACAATGACATTATTATATACCAAAAAACAAGACTCTGTTTATCTTAATCTTTTAAAAATTGGATCTCAACATTAAATACCTTTCTGGTATTTAATCATTTATAAGAATGAAAATTTGACCTTAAAAAGTACCTTAATGTTAATGAAAAATACACTAACTGTTCTCCAATTACTTGTTTTTAATGGGGGAGTGGGGCATCTAAAATCCAGTAGTATTTCTAGCTATTATTTCAGTCTAGATTTTCTCAACGTAGTGAAAAGAGAATGGCAACCCTGGTGAGGTCCAGGAGTAGGGAACGCTGGAAATGTCTTTACAAATAAAGACCGCTGACTCTGGTGCAAATATGCGAAATACCACCCTGACTGAAAAACAAACAAACAAACAAAACACAACCTGCCAGGAACCACAGAGGAGAGATTATACAAAAAAGTATCTGATTTTTAAAAAACAGGTAAAACACATTTTTTTATTTTGTAACTCTGCAGGGGTGTAAGTGACCCAGTGTATAATAAATTTTGAGAGAGCTGTACCTCTTCACATGGGCAGAAATCATATTACACAAGGGTGGGAGACGAGAGGGAGATGCTTGACGAGTGTTACTATCTGTCCTTTCTTAGTTCTAGGAGCTTTAACTCTAAAACTGTTCCTTTAGATAATAAAACTCAATTAGCACTACCTGATCTGAATTACTTTTACTAGATATTTTTAATAGGAAGAAAATTAGACTGTGTTATGTGACAGAACATGGAATTCAGCTTACAGTTTTGACAGAACAAAAATATTTTAAGTTATACATGAACCTTCACGACTCTCATGCTAAAGCCACCCCAATAAAAATTATATATTTCAAAAAGTGACTTGAATAAGTGACCAGGAGATTGTTTGGTTCCACTATAGGAACGTTATAAAGGAAAAACTGAATTGGCTGTAGATAAGGTTACTTAAATTGGCTGTAAGGATTATCATGGCAACAATGGTTCATTTTCATATATAAATTTTTTAAAAGGACAATTTTACTCCCTAATTTAGCTAAATCAGGAGAAAAGTCAGTTTTATTAGTTAGCACTAATAAAAAAAAAATCAAAATTTCAGCATTTCTTTTAAAATGTAATTTGTTACCTTGTGAAAAGCAGACAGGGATCTGGGAAAGAAAACATTATATTTCTGAAAATGTATTAATAAATTCACACATTAATTTGATTTGTAAAATGTGTGTTTTCTTTTAAAAAAATGTGTTCACTAAAGGTTTAGTATTTTCCTTAAATCATACTTTCTCCTTACAAAATAATCTACAGTATGAATTTGTAATTTTTCAGAGCAAAAATTAATTTTTATCTATATCCCTTGCATGATCTCCAATTCCAAAGTAATCAAGATTTACTACAGTAACATCTTATAGGATATTGGAATATTAGGTCCCTCAATCAATCTAAAAATTAATATGTGAAACCAATACCA